TGCATTGTGGGTAATGTTTGTATGGGTGGGCTTTAGAAAATCTTGGCATACACATAGCTTCAGGAATATGATGTAGTATGTGGAGCACGAGTCAGAGAGATCAAAAATATTCCACTTGGGTTTTGAGCATTTTTCACTGTTAACTTGGTAAAAGATGTAATGAGGTTGTAACTGCAATTGTTCTTTCTTATGTTACAATTTTGTTATGCCCTACATTGAGATGTACGACAGTAATACAGGCATATAATGCCACATAATGCAGTTCTTCTTATTGTATTTGCAAGTTTATTTTTCAATCAGCGTACAAGTATTTACATAAAAACAAAATATATCCTTAGTATCAAGACTTTTATTGAGAAACTATGTGATGAAATAAAGTTTTTCAACGTCCTTTTTAATTTTAAACATTTATTAGTTATTTTAAAAAATCGATCTCAACTTTAGTGAGTCTCTTGCAATCATTTTTGTTATTTATTAAAGGTAATATATAACACTATTATGCAGGATTTAAAAATCTTTAATTGATCATATTTTCATTCCCCAGGTTCACAGCAGGCAGGTCTCATACTACTGGTATTTTTTGTTTACATGCTGGTGCACTATTTCCTTTTTCTGAATATGAAGTATGTAGCCTTTAATAGATTATAAGCATATTGTTATAAATTATTCTATGTTAGGATACTGCTTATAAACTATGGAAAGTTATATTAAGCAAAATTTTGTGTCAACTGAATTTCCTAAGCATTGCTGTTAAAAGACTTGTATCTAGATAATAGTAACTATTTGGGTCTAAGTTATGTGAATATGGTTTTAAAATGTTTTTATTAACAGCAATGTTAAAGAAATTAATATCTGCACAAAATTAATTTTAATAGGACTGGAGGACCCACAAAGGTTTGATATTGAACAAAGGAAAAGAAATTATTTAAATGTCATGGAATCTGGACACTGAGACTTTGGTAGTGTACAATGTGATTTCTGCCTAACCCGTGCCTGAAAGCATTCACCAGCAGTAAAGTCAAAACTATTATGGGTAAATGTCTTATCACCCCAGTGTTTAGAAAACTTAATCCTGAATTCAAAAATTTTACTTTTTTTTTTAATCTACATAGTGATTGTTTTGATATAACAAATGGCAAATTTCAATTGTTAAAAGTGACCAAATAGTAGAAACTTGTCTCAACTGCTTCCAGTGTATACAGCAAATTAATAAACTCTGTCTTTATCTGGTGATTTTTAATGACTGATTTCTTTTTGTCTTGCTACTGCCGGAAGGTACACCTTGCTACAGTAGGTGGACAAATAGTGCATCTCCGGAAATGTAAGCTTTCTTCTTAACAAGAATTCATGCAGAAGTGCCCTTCCATGAGTAGTTTTCATTTAGCCTTCTGTAATTTTAGTTATATTCAATTCTTTAAATGTGTATTTGAACCAATGCATGTAGGTGTGTAGATACAGTACTTTTATACTGCAATTTGTTTCAAATATAGTTTACTGTCACAAGCACAAAACAAATTTATGTATGTCTATGATATAACAGTTCAAACCAGTTTAGGATGTCTGTTAATATCTATATGGTTTGTGGATTTTCTATGTGTTCCCTTGTTCTAGAAACGTAAGTGGCCAATGTCACTAAGCCATCTCCTTGCCGTTTAGGCAGCCATATGAAATACTGTCTTCAGAACCAGATCAAATTCCTTCTTATGACTTATGTTTTCTTGCTCCCAGTTCTATATGTATGAGTTCCGAAACTTCATTACTCTGATGATTCAAAGGTTTTAATGTCTAATATCAGTATATTAATGGCTGTTTATTCTTGTGTTTGTTTTGTCAGTTAATCTTGACTTTGGACTCTTCTTAAAAGTAAATAACTATATACTTTATACTCTTTATCATACAGAACTAAGGAAGTCCAGCTTTTCTGTTGTAGTGGTCAGTTGCATGCTAACCTGCAGCAGCTTACAGCTGTGTAGTTCTAAATTCACATGCAAGATGCATTGGCTTTTTTAAAACACCCACCTCAACAGATACATGTTGAAGGATTTGAGGGAGGTGTGATAACAATCCCAAGTCAGGACAGTGGAATGGATGAGGTACCCAATCACCAATGCATGCAAGTTTTGAAACAATGTGTGAAGCAGTACAAAGTGTTTAAGAGCTTGGTTTTAACACAAATTAATTCCTGCTGGATTAAAATAAAAAACTGAGGAATTAGTGAGACTTTTTACCTTGCTTGTATCTAACTAATTTTACAGTTTGATTTAAAGGGAAGTGATCTTTCACTTTGATGAATACTACCAGTAGTTGTAATACCTCAAGTATTACAGCAGTTAATTCTTTAGGTGCATATTAACTAAAGTGAAATCTAGGGCTGTAGGTAAATATGTATGTTTTCTGAGCCAGGACTAGCAAAGTTCATTGTTTCTAAATGACATTAACAACAGCCAATTTACAAAGAAGGGAACTCCTACCTACACTTATGCTAATACTGGACTTGCACTTAAGCATAGCAATGCTGTGTGGAGAAGTTTCTCCTTGATTGAAGGAACATACATGGTAAAGATGCCACATGATTCAGGAAGCAGCTGAAATAACAACTTTGAGATGATAGTACTGGATTTAGATAAAATATGTGTGTGCAAGTACTATTTTTTTTAATTGACATTAGCTGCTCAGTATTATTTGTAGCATGTATGAGACCAAAGCATTCTCATTATTTAGGAAGTGCTGCTTATCACTAGCATAACGTGTCACATATTAAGAACATGAGACTTTGTGATTTTCCTAGTGAATCATGACATCATCACCGAAAAGGAGATGAAACAAGGACTACTGACATAAACTAAGCAGCATTTCAGGCACTTTCCCTTTTTCACTGTTGCAGGACCCTTCGGACAGAAAGGAAGGACACTTGTTGTTCAAGTTGAATGCTCCACTCCTTAGTCTATGCATAGAAAGTCAAAAATATCAACATGATTGCTGTTGTTTTAAGGAAAGAAAAAGGCACAGCTGTCCTCAGCTTTACTCTGTCCTATTCCCATGCAACAAGTCCAGATTGTAGGCAGCAATTTATGGGACACATTGAAGTGCAAACCTCAATCAGTTAGAGTTTCAAAGTGGTAAAAGAATTTGGATAGATCCCAACAGCTACTTAATAGCTCGCTTGCAGCAGTTCCCTGCTTAGACTATTCGCTGTCGTAAATCTCACTCTAAGGCGCCTTACTCTGCCCCTCGTACACTATGAGAAACTGGGGAATTTTATTGCTGGATTTTACTTTGAGGCCTCAGTTCATAAGTGTTCCCCACTTTTGTTACTCAATCTAGTTCACAACACCTAGTTGATCCTCATGTGTGAGTATTTTAGGGTGAAGACTGCTGAACTGCAAAGAAGTTAAAATTTGGTTGTTGGTATATTTGAGAAGCTTACTTTCAGTGCTTAATTTCTTTTTGCCTTTTTTAAAGTCCAACAGCTATACTTAATCTCTTATTATATGACAGTATGTTTTCTTCTACTTAAGACAAAAGTATTGATTTTTGAAGCACCAAGTATTTCTCCTACTGCCCCTAGATTGAATGTAAAGAGAAGGATCTATGGCGCAGCTAGTAGTTTGTATATTGACACAGGTAGCACGCTTTTATCAGCCTGCAAATATGTGTTCAGAATCAATAAGCATAAACATTTAAGTAGAATGAGATATTTAAGAGTGTACATAACAGGGATATTTTAATTATATATGATGGGTTTATTATATGTAATTACAAATATGTGTTAATAAATATGTCTTTGGCTTCCTGTGATTCAGGAACACTGAAATGTGTGCTGCTGCATATTCAAGGTCAAGTTATTTTCCACAGTGTAAAAAAAAATTACATTTTTCAGCTAAGTGCAAAATTTGTCTTATGAAATTTTAATTAGAAATTGTTTATCTGACTTAAAAGATAATAGAAAGGAGGTATTTATTTTCCTTCACTTTCCAAAAGGTGATCGTACTTACAAAATTTGCTGAGATTGTCCAAGAAAGTATGTAAAATCCTCATCCATCACTGAGAGCCCCTGGTCAGGGAATGACAGTGCAGTAAATATCTTCAGCAGCTGCCTTTTAATGTACAAGCTGTTTTTGGTAGGAATTTTCAGCACTCACATAAAACACACTGTCATGAGTGACTGCCTGTGCTCCAAAGTCATTACTATTGGGATGATGGAACATCTTTCAGTGAATAACCAAAAAACTTTAAATGTCATGTCAAGTGTGTTGAAGGCATTTTCAAGCCTTGCTCAAGGTTACATGAATATTGAGTAGGCCTGTTTTTAAAAAGTTTGAGATCTATGAGAGGGACCACTCGTGCTGGTTTGAAGAACAGTCACTTGATTTGGAAGCGGGGGTGGGGAATGACAAAAAAGAAATCTGTTTATTAATACATGCCAAACCTGTAAAACTCCTGCCTGGATATTAACTGAGTGCAACTTTGTGTGACAGTCAGTGCCAGTGATATTTACCAAAATGTAGTGAATTATGCAATTTCTTGAAATTACTTAGCTGTCTAAAAGTTCACAAAGGAAAGAAAAGTTATTACAATGGATAATTAAATTGAAATAGATTTTTAAATACATTTTAAGATTTGAACAATTAAAAAAAATATGTAGGAAGTATAATTAACCGGATAAAACCTCAGAAGACACTGAGAGGTGCTAGGTACTCTGTTTTATCTTTGACTTCAGTAAGAAAGGAGGATCCTGTCAAGCTCTATCTGTGATTTTGTAAGAAATATGGATGCTAATCTAATGAAGTCATGTAAAGTCTGTATCACTTCCAAGGGACCAAGCCTACTGCTTTTGAAGTGATAATATATTTTTTCTTGCCTCTTTGGCAATCATTACTCCTTCTAGTGCATCATCTGCATGTAAAATTTGCCTGATCAAGAGGTCTTTTTATATTACAAAATATTGAAACTGAGTATTTTAATAGTGAAACAAGGTTTGTTTGATTTATCTTCTGCAGAGAACCAGAAAGAACAACTAGAGAAGCCGTGTTCACACCACAGTATCAGTTTAAACTTGACAAGAAGCCCAGTCACCAAAGAAGTTACATATGATGTGGAAACAAGTTCCAAGGCATGGAACAAGGCTGTTGGGAGAAAGGAAGACTGTCACGGAGAAGGCAACAAGGAAAAGAAAACAGATCATATCGGGTCTCCTTTTCAGGGAGAAGCCATTCCAGAAGTAGAAGCTCTCTTGGCAAGACTGCGAGCACTGTAGAATACTCATATAAAAGATTAAATAAAAGCCTAAAAATAATAGTCTATATCTTTAAAAATTCAGTAATTTTCTATTATTGACACTGCATACTTCTGAGTTCCTAGATTCTCTGTGGATGAATGATCTACTTCTAAACTGTTTGCAAGACTGTACAAAACAATACTATATTTTCGCATAACTGCAAGATGATTTTTTATTATGTGTTTTTACATAGCAAGCATATAAAAAGTATCAGAAATAAAACTAAATTATTCCAAGGTACAATCCTTTTAGTGGACAGACTGCTGACCACCTGATCTGAATGCTTCTCAAAATAGGAATATCTTTTAAATATTGTTAAATCATCGCGCCTGGGAATAGGGTCAGTAAATAACAGAAAAGATGTTCTTATATTTTCTGCTATAATTCCTGTACTTAAGAGGTTTCAGCACCCTAAATGTATCATTACAGTATCCTTTACAATTACAGTAATAGCAAAAATGTATAGTATAAATCAGCCATATTCCAACTTGAGTTCATCAAAGAGCACCAAAGCTTGCTGGATAATATATATGTATTTACCAAATGGTAATCCATGGGCAGTAAACAAAAAATCTATGCAAATAATATATTTTTTGTGTGTTTAATATATCACTGCTGTTAAGCTTAGTTATGATTATTAAATCAAAATAATATATACAATTGCTGTGATTGCAAGGTTTTGCAATTCTGTCTATAGTTGGGGAAAATGTCTTCACAGTTATCTACCAGTGTAATATTTTATCTTTTCACATGTGAGCTGATATGTTTCTATAAAAGGAACATGTAATGGAAAAGATTGGTTTTTCACAAACTCATTTTCCAGTAGCCTGTTAAGTCTTATTTACTGGCACAATAGGAGTCTTGCATGTAATTGCATCTCTTTTATCCCACTGTCATTGTACATTGTTGCGTGTCCGCTATCATATTTATTAATTGCACATCATAAAGAGTTGCTACCTATGTTACCAAATAGGAATCTACTATTACTATCTTTGCTCCATTATTTAAAGCTTCCTTATTATAAGAGTATATTAAGTACCTAATATCTTTCTTTTAAATTACTCTATTTTTCTTTACAAAATGCTGAAAAATATGTCTTTCAATAAGAGTCAGTTACATGAAACCAGTGTTTCAATGCTCCAGTGCTTTTTATATCCTTAAGTTGCCTTTGTACTTCCTGCACTAAACATTAATAAAGTTAATTAGAACTCGAAAACTGGGCCTGTTTATACATACTACATAGAGGACTTTTCAGCCATCGTGGGAATCAATCTCATGTTTCTGAGGCAGTTTTAACTGTCACTGTACACTAATTACATTTCCTGCCTTAGCTGAAAAAAGAGAGGTATAAACAGAAGTTGCAAAGATTCAGAGAAGGCCTCAGCCATTTCTCCAGCTCCCCTTGCAAACAAACAGTGGGCACAGCTGTCATAGAGAGACACTTTTGATAACTTGAAATGTGTCTTTAGTGGATAACAACTAATAGTTGTTCCACTAAGGTCTTCTGTGCCTCTGCTATTAAGACTTACTACCCCTGTTTACAGGGTGCAGTAAAAATGACTATCTTCAAAGTGCAATATGATTGACTAAATAAAAAGACCCTTCAAACGCAGAGCAAATACATGTGCAAGGGGAAGAAAAGTAAACCCTTCATCAAATCTCTTCAGTTGCTGAGGATGTGCTAAAATTAAAGGTCTAGGAGTAGAGAGCCATCTCTGAAATACTAGGAGGATGACCTACCAAGTGCGGGTGGAAGTACAAATTCATTTTCATAATCATTAAACTTGTTCATTTGAATTACTGGGTGATAGTCCACAAGAGAGAGATGACAGTTCAGGACACTACTGTGAGTTGATCAAGCAAAGAAAAGTTACAAAACTATCTACTGATTTTTTCAATGAACAAAATGCTACTAGCAGCCTAGCATCTCCTGATTTTAAAATAAATATTTATCTTTAAAATTATAGAACTTGAGCTACTTTTCTTTTACAGTTTGAGAAGCTTCTAGAAATGTATTCCAGGATTTCTAGTCCTTATAGTCCTTGTGTTTCTGAATTAATCCTTTCAAGCAGCCATCAAGTTAATTTGCAGTTTCTTTTGTATTACAAGGAGAACAAAAAGCTGTACAACTTCTGAGAATCCATGTAAATACAGTATCTATTTTTTCCCCTTCTGTTCTTTGTACCACCATAATTTGATCTACTCAGAGTTCAAGTACATGGTCCAGTTGAAGTACACTGTAAGTTTTCTTTCATCATCTTTCTTTAATTTCCCTTAGATGCAAAGAAATACACAGGACATTTTTGGTAGGAAAAAATGCTTGTATTCCCTAATGAGTTCAGGTAAAAATGAGTTTGAAAGTATCATGACTTTATTCTATTTCTATGTTTCGTGTTTTTATTAAAGTATAAAATTCAACTTGTAAATTATATAGAATAAATTAATTAAAATTTAAAAATTCATTTATTCAATTTAAAAGTTAATTCAGTCTCAAAATACTTGGGTAGACCTTTAATGGTGCATGCTGGTCATTTTTAGTTAGCCATTTTTAGTATCATGTCTACTCCTTTAACTGAAGGGTTGAGTTATAAACCACTTGTGCTTAGATATGGACAAAGGTTTCACATACTGTGCCAAACTCTCTGTAATTCACACCAGAAAATTAAATCCTTACAAAAAGAGCTTCTTGATTTCTTCAAACATGATTGTTCATATAAAAGCATTTGAGGTAACCTTGCAAGGCACATTCCACTGCTGCTTCCCTCTCTGAGGAGTAGACAGAAGGCACAAACATCCTTAACTTTTCTTACCAGTACAACTGTAAAGGTCTAACGCATCTTTTTGATTCTTCATGTGCATTTTGGATGACTTTTCACTCAGTAAAAGAATTTTCATTACTACATCAACTTTTACTTTATATAGACAAGACACCATGATGGTGGTCTAAATTCATACATAATATTCTGTTTTGACCTTAGCATGATAGAAATGTTTGCAGTCAGTCTCTTCAAGCCACAGAAAGCTAAGCTTGACACCTGACTTGCAGGCTGTAGGTCATACACTAGTGTGTATAAACCCAGAAGGCAAAGTGATGGTAGTGACTTTGTTACAAAACAGTACAACACCATCAGGATGTGGTGGCTTGCATGAGACATGATACTGCTCTGAATCAGGTACTTTGTTAAAGAAGCATGGACCAGCAACCTGAAAAAAATTATACTTACTTGTGTTTCCCAATAATTATGGCAACTCTACTGCTTGGGAGACTGTAAAGACCACAGGTAGGAAAAAATGTCTCCAATGCAGTTGCTACAAACAATTTTTTGTCCAACACACAGTTTTCCTTGTTTTCCCTCATACAATCAGTCCTCAGCCAGGCCCATCCAAAATCACAGCCTCCAGAACTGCACGAGTTAATGCTGAGCAGCTTGAGGTTCTGCAGCCCTTCAGGCTTTTATAATACAAGCTGAAAAAGAAGACATTTACTCTAACACTTTTTCCACATCCATTTCTAATGAACAGGACCAAATTTTAATTTTTACACTAATCTTTTCAAGCCTTACAGTATACTCAGGAACTATAAAACAAATGGGTAATAAGCAGGGGTCGATAAACCCTAAGCTATGGCACCTAAAACATTATAATAAGCAACCAGGGTCAAGTGAAAGAGCTCAGCAAAAAAGCAATTACATGACAACATTGTTTGCTCCTGAACAAAATAAAGCATTACTATACTATTTTCTATTTTTTTTAGTGTGATGTGTGGGTTTTACACAACTGAACTGCAGCAGAAAAATAACTTCACTCAAGAGTCTGAGGAACTGTTTGTCTAGTTCGTGAAAAAAAAAAAATTAAGACAGATTGCTGATTTTTTCAATTTTCAGTCCAATTTTATGCCAAGATTCCTATATGTAAGAAATTCTGAAATTACCATCAGCTATTAAATTAACTGCAGCACCAACTAATGAACGTGGTTTACATTTTTTTGACACATAAAGCAAGCACATTTTCTTCCTTTCCAAAGACACTTTTTTCATTGCACTATTGGGTGTTTTGCCTGAAGTATAGTATTTAGATCAGGGCTGTAAAAACAGGTTGATAAAGGAGTCTGGTCACTCTTAAACCAGTGAAGAATACACAAGAGGTGGTCCAGATACCATTTTTCTGTCCCTCCCAGCTGCAGAGGTAGCCAAAGAGTTTCATACATTAGCTGAGTACATTTAAACCTCTCTGTGCTTCTACTTCCATAATGCAGCTTTTTCTTTTTGTGATCCATGCAATGGCATACACTGAAGAATTATTAAGGGAAATATTTTCTGTCAGCTTACCAAAGACACATGACTTGCATGCAACATCAACCCTATATACTGTAGGAGGCATAATACTTGAATGTAACCCAGAGTCAGATAAGATATTTCACTCCACCAAAAGAAAATTGTTCCTTTTATCTAAATAAGCTTATTCCACTGCTGATACCAGAATTGTGTGTATTTTGGGAGGATAATGTACCCCTATTTTTAAATCTGTGTTACATTAGCCAGAAAACAGAAACTATGGAAAGACAGAAGTGCAGAGACAGAGAAGCAGAGCTGATAAATGTGTTGCCTGATTTTACTTCTGGGACCTAAAATTGCATCCAGTGCAGAATGAAGAAACTAAGGGGAAAAAAACCCAGTCTCATCTGATGTCTTTAAAGGTCATGAAGGAAATGATGGTGGGTGATCCAGAGTTGGTATCGCCACAGGTGTCTTGTCTTTTCAAAGACATATATCAGAATATCCTCAGAATAGCAATGCTGTTGAGTTGTTAGTTCTCAAAGCCCTTAAATGAATAAAAAGAAGAAAAAGTCTGACAGAGATTAATATGAGCCCCATAAAACCCAAGAATATTTTCATCTTTAATCCAAGCATCAACCCTGCTCCTCTTCACTTTTAGAGCTAAAGGAAGAGCATGAGGAGACAGAGGAGTCCACATGGTGGCCATACCTCTCTAATGCTATGCCAGACAATATTGCTCTTGGCTGCAGCTGTGGCTGGCACAGCAAAGGTGGCGCAGATGTCGGTCTGCCCTCCCAGTGTTTTAGGTTGTGGGGAAAGACACAGGAACCATGGCCAGCAAACATGGCCTCAAATCATGGGATCACCATAAAAAGACCCCACAGTTCTAGAGCCACACATTCAGTATGACAAAAAAGACTGTCTTCTAAAACATTCAGGTGTCAAAACAGCAGCAAAATGTGCACATATTCCTGATGCTTCCTAAAGACAGCTGTTGTATCAACTCTCCAAGTCTGATGACTGCATGCAAGCTGCATAGGAGGAGCTTTAATCCTTTAATTCTTTTGGCTTCTTTGTTGCATATAGTTCTACCTTGAATTGAAATTTTCAGTCCAAAGCAGGCCATGCAAACTTTGTACTCTACAACTGTTAATTAAAAAAAAAAAGGCTTTTGTAAAAGCTGTGTTTAATTCGTTGCATTTCAGTGAGAAGGTTGTTGCACATAGTTGAAAACATGCAGTGCAACAAGACTCTTTCTATTAAGTAAGACAGAAATGGCAATTATGCAGTCTGTTGATCGAATTTTTTACTAACGAAGGTACTTTCTGCTAATGGATACGAAAGCAAAGCAGTCCAGTCAAACAAGTCACCTTGATAGTAGAATGCAAGACCCATCAATTTTATTCACTACCTCTTTGGTAATGAATCTCGGAGCACAGCCCATCAGCATTGCTCCTGAAAGACAACCACTAAGGTAGAGGAAAAAAAACCACAAAAAGTGGTTTGAAAAGAAAAATGGGATGAGAGATTTCCACCCCTTTAAGAGGAGAATTGATTATGATGAATTTATTTCCAAGGTGCTTGGGCACTGCATTAAAAATGCTTAGATGGAAAAAAATACAATCCTGATGTGTAGTTGGTGGCACCTTGCCATTTTCTGCTGCAACATCATGACAAGATAACCAGAGCCCTGTCTTCATCTCTGTCCTTGAATCCACTGACATTGTGGATAATCAGAAGGAATAGTAACTACAGCAGTAAGAGAATTTTTATTGCTTGGGGTGTAACGCATTCCAACATGCAAACCCACACTACAAATTCATTGCTTAAGCCTCAGAATGACAGGGGAGAAGAGCGAGCTTTGTTCCTGTCCCCTCAGCAGGGAACGTGGCGCACTCTTGTCCATGAGGAACAGAATGACCTCTCATTAACTTCAGCTCCAAAATACAATTTTTTATTCCTTGATTAACAAATCCCCACGGAGAGATCAGAAGTTTTTATTTTTCTCAGAAGGACTGCACTACAGTAAATCTATCCATGATCTAATAAAGAGTTAAAATTCAATGGCACCTAGGTAGAGAATCAAAATCATGAGGCAAGAACAAATTAAGTCCTTTCTGAAAGAGGCTGTGCAGGATCACTTCTTCCACTTCTATCTCCAATATCTTTAATACTAAATACACAAACCTATATTAAAGTTAAAATTGCTTTTAATTAGATAAAACCAAGAAGATTCATCTTTTACCCTTTGCTTGGATGCTTTGATTAGCACAGTTTCAGCACTCTGTCTCAAAGAATTAACCTGTCCCATTTTTCAACTCAGCAGTCCAATATATGAACACAGATGCC